TGACCGGTGATTGGTAGAGGAGCCCCTCTATAATCAAGGCACACACTAAGTGCGATGAGGAGAGGAAGCATCGTGGGCAGAAAAAGAGTACTAGCTCCTCACTTCCCCTTTTGCTTCGGTCTGAACACAACCGTAAGAATAGCAATAGGTTGAGGAATTGGGGTCTATTAAGGACTTTATAGCCCTTTAAGTTTACATTTGATTTAACATTTCAAGTAAAGGGCACTAGAGCAAGTCAGAATGACTAGCAACAGTGAAAGCAAAACACTGAACAGGCTCGTCTTTCCAAAAGACGTGCGGCAGTTCGGTGTATGGAAGGACCTAATCATCCGTCACTTGCGTCAAAAGAGTACGGCACTAGCTCGTGAAGCGATGCTAAAGCGTCAGTAAAAGCCAGCGTTTAAGTACGAGGAATTACTGGTAACCAGTGGCGAGGTATCTCGTCCAATAGAGTACGACGAGGACCCAGAAAAGAAGCGCAACTATGATTGGCAAATGGGGGTCCTTAGTGATCAGGCCAGCTACATCCGTAGCTTGCTTAGTCAAACTTTACCCCGAGGGTATTCGGAGTCGCGAAGAGTTTCGTTTAACGACGAGGACTTGCCGGTTGCATGGAAGCGACCTGAGGCTCACTATGGGCAGTCCTATGCCCAGGGAATGGTTGCACTGATTACGGAGTTTGATGAGGCACTGGCGATGGACTTCGCTTCGGTGGGAGAACTCATCGTTCGTGTAAAGAAGACCCGAAACCGCATTAATCGGCAGTCACGGGAGAACCTGAAAGGTGTGACGATGATACTCAATCAGTATGCGGTCGTGAAGGTCCTGTCACTGTTCTTAACCCAATACTGGGGGAACCGTGTGGATCACAGCAACGAGGGGTTTCACCTGGATAAGGTCGAAGCGTTGCTACGCAGTGTTTTCATGGATAAGAGCCGGGGCCAAATTGACGCTATGCAAGCCCAGACGGTTCCAGTAAACTATGCGGCATCCAACAAGCCGTTGGGCAAGCGCAAGGCGCGAGTAGACGAGCTCAAGAAGAAGAAAGGGGGCAAGTGCTACTACTGTGATGGTCGGTAAAACCGGCATGGTGAATCTCACTACAGGGCCGACTGTCCCAAAAGGGCAAATGATCGAGGCCAAGGATTGATGCGCAACTCGATCTTTGTGAAAGGCAAGAGAGTCGATGTCCCATCCAACTCAGTGGGAGTCGCTCATGTGAAGGGGGACAAGAAATGCAAAAAGAAGGCTAAGGCTAAGCGAGAAGAGATCCCAGCCGATGTGGCCTTACTTCAGCCGATCAGTAAGCTGAAAATTGTCGCGACGATGTACGCCACACAATCAAACGGCGGCTCGGCACTGGCGGCAGAACAAGCCAAACTGGATACGGATGAGCTGATGACATCACCTCCGGTATCCCCCACTCCGCCATCATCATTGTCGTCAAGCGGCATGAACGATGATGAGGATGACTACGAGGATTTTGTGCAGGGAAGTGTCCCTGCGCATACTGCAAATATGACGGAAGCTTCTGGGGACATCAAAGAGGCCTCGAGGGCTATCGAAAACACGGTAAAGAAGCTGTACCCAGAGCTGATGCAGAGAGACATGGCTGACATAACATTTTCTGATTGGGTGTTAGACTCAGGTTGTGGCTACGGTCTAACGGCAGACGCATCGATGTTTGTGTGGAAACAGGCAAGCAAAGAGTTTAGCTTCACATTTGGAGAAGGGACTAAACTCAATAATACACATGCTGGCTCAGTTCAGCTCTATGTTTTGGGGTCCAGAAGGAATCAAACCATATCGTTTTGATAACATGGCACTAGTACCAAAGGCAACGGCTAGCATACTCAGCGAGTTTTGGTTGAAGCAAAGTGGATACCAAACAGTAGAGAGTGCAAAGGAGGGTCCTATGGCGACACAAACTGGCGTTTGTCGCTGTTGCAGTGAATGGTGCATACTATGTACAGGGTCGCACACTAAGGGACAGGCAAATTTACTGTTCGGTAGTAAAAGGCAAGCTAGCTAAGGCGCTGTATGTTTCAGGAAACACACGAGTGGAAACCACGTTGACAGAATGGCACATTAAATTAGGTCATCTGAACAAAGATAAGCTCATTGAGGTCATGAGCAGGAATCTGATCCCAGGGGTGCCCAATTTTAGTAGGGCGGCACTGAGTAAAGTACCATTCTTCTGCCATACGTGCACAGAAATGAAGATGCGCAGAATGAGCTACAGGGATATGGCTGGTGTCAAAGACAGTCAGCCAATAAGCACGATACACATGGATACGAATGGTCCAATGCGGACGCTTGGTGGGTATGGGACTATCGGATCAATAAGATACTTTCTCAGCATCATTGATGATCAGACATCATGGCGTGCGTTGGACTTATGTCCTTCGCAAGAAAAAGGCGGTGCAACTAAAGTAAAAGAGCTGTTACTACAACTAGAACGGGAAGGAAAGTTCACAATTCGGAGGATTCGATCAGACGGTGGCACTGAATTTGTAAATACGGCCCTAAAAGTGTTTTGCACAGAGAAAAAGGTGGCGTTTCAGACGTCGAATCCCTATACTCATGAAGAAAATGGAGCGGCTGAGAGAGATCCTCAGACGAAAATGGCTAAAGTGCGGTGCACACTCAGAGATGCAAACCTACCAGCTAAGTGATGACCTGAAGCACAAAAGAACATGACATATGTGCAGAATTGCACGCCTATGAACAGGCTGAATAATAAGGCACCATACGAGTTAGTAAAAGGCGTGAGTCTCGATGTAAAGACCTTACATGTTTGGGGCTGTGTGTGCTTTGCATATCTGCCAGAAGCTGTCAGGAAGGATAAAAAGCTGTCACCTCGAGCCATAAAATGCAGGTTTCTCGGGATCTCTGAGGATACAAAAGGGTATCGTCTTCTAGATGTGTACAATAACAAGCACATAGTAGCCAGGTCGGTTACATTTAAAACCGAAAACTGTGCAAATATCATCACACGGTCATTCGGTACAGATCCCGATAAGTTTACCGCTGCGGAGAAAGATGAGATAGAGCTGCTAGCTACAGCTTCACGGAGCAAAGGTAAAGCACCACAAGTGTCTCACGAGGATAACAGTAAGCACGTTGCATGAGACAGTGGGAGTCAGCGGCCAAGAGAGCCGTTGCCGGTAGCAGTGGGAACTAAGAGCAAATCTGGGAAGATACCATCTGAAGGTGGTACAAGGGTAGTACGACCACAACGGAGTCGGAAACGCCCGGTGCGATTTATAGACTACAAATGTTTTTAAACGCACATTGACAAGGTCATTGCAGTCGCTAGCATTGTTAATAAGATATCCGTTCCCAAAAGGCTTAGGGAAGCGATATCAGGACCTCAAAGGAAACAGTGGCTACAGGCACTTGATTTGGAGTATCAGTCCTTACTGGAAAACGGAACATGGAAGCTCACAAGGTTACCACCTGGCCAAAAGGCACTGCCATGTCACTGGGTACTTGCGGTGAAGTACAATGCTGATGGAAGTATAGAGAGGTTCAAAGCACGATTGGCTGCACAAGGAAACCATCAGGAATTTGAGGTAAATTGCGATGAAGTGTATGCACCGGTAGCTCGGTTTGAGTCGCTTCGACTCATGTTGGCAATAGGAACCATATTGGATTGCCATATACATCAGATGGATGTGCACACGGTCTTTTTAAACGGGTCCATGGACGGAGAGCAAAATGTCTTTATGCACCAACCTCCGGGGTATAAGCAATCAGGCCATGGAGGGCTTGTTTGGGAACTTAAGAAGAGTATCTATGGGTTAAGCAAGCACCAAAGATCTGGTACAAGGTCCTCCACAGAGTTTTTACAGGATCCGATGCAATAAGGATTACTGCATCTATGTCCAAAACGTGGGAGAGCAATGGATCATTGTGGTGGTCTATGTGGATGACCTAACGTCCAACACGTCGCAGTGAAGCGGGGGTCTCGATCCGAGACTATTGCCTCCGACAAGCCATGTTGGCGAAAGACACGGTCTAAGAGCAGCAACGCTGTACCTTCACCATCGATGGTGGCCGGCACCGCCGCTAAGCTAGCCATCTTGCTCAATCGGTCGACAAAGACCATGGTGCCTGTGTTGCCCGCCTTATCCATCGGAAGGCCAAACACAAAGTCCATACTGATGAACTGCCAACATCCCGTGGGGACAGGCAAGCTCGCCAACGGCGCTGCCGCATTCAGTGTGGACTTCATCCGCTGACACTTCTCGCACGTGCGTACGTAGGTGCTCACCCATTGGTACAGCTTGGGCCACCAGTACATCGAGATCACCTAGCCATAGTTCTTCTCACGACCCAAGTGTCCACCGACGGGTGTATCATGAACCTCGTAGAGGATTCGATACGTGAGTCCTTATCATGAGGAACAACAACACGAGGCGTATCTTCAGGGTAAATGCTGTAGTACAGCAGGCCATCATCGAGATCGTATCGGTGCAGCGTCGCGCGTAGGCACCCAGACGAATTCGTGCCAGAAACGGTAAGCTCCTCGCCCCCAAGAACTCGTAGCAGGGCTAAGCAAATGATATCCCGTGCATACGCTGCGCGTATCAGTTCAAGTATGAACGACGTCACTATGGTGACGTAGGCTAGATTGTAGTCCCGGACTGCGCGAGAGCACATCGGCCACTAAATTTAGGCGACCCCAGCTGTGTACTTCACCTCCAAATTACACTCGGCGAAGAATGAGATCCATCTCGCCATTGTCTGAGAGAGGTGTGCCGACGGTGTCGCAGTGCGTAACGACGCAGGATCAGTAAAGGTCACATCAGACTTAGATCATGTTGAGCCCGGCACTCGAGCCAGCACCAAGGGGATGCGACAGGCAATCCCCGTACGGGTGAGACATATTAATATAAAGTGTATGGGCTCTACTATGCCTATTGAAGTGTCTATGTAGTCAACGGTACTCTGACCGGTGATTGGTAGAGGAGCCCCTCTATAATCAAGGCACACACTAAGTGCGATGAGGAGAGGAAGCATCGTGGGCAGAAAAAGAGTACTAGCTCCTCACTTCCCCTTTTGCTTCGGTCTGAACACAACCGTAAGAATAGCAATAGGTTGAGGAATTGGGGTCTATTAAGGACTTTATAGCCCTTTAAGTTTACATTTGATTTAACATTTCAAGTAAAGGGCACTAGAGCAAGTCAGAATGACTAGCAACAGTGAAAGCAAAACACTGAACAGGCTCGTCTTTCCAAAAGACGTGCGGCAGTTCGGTGTATGGAAGGACCTAATCATCCGTCACTTGCGTCAAAAGAGTACGGCACTAGCTCGTGAAGCGATGCTAAAGCGTCAGTAAAACGCCAAGCGTTTAAGTACGAGGAATTACTGGTAACCAGTGGCGAGG